CACTCTTTCGTTTCCCTTTTTTGTTCCACTTTTTTGCCGAATGACCCTTCCTTATAGACGTATTTACGTCAAAAAATAAATAATGCATCTTCAGAAAATTACTACTAAGTGTGAAATATTTTTTACGCGTGTAAATCGATTCTTTGCAGCTTCACTTGTTCCACTTTGCAGACACGGCATGTGATGAAACAATAGATAAATCTGCCCAACCGGTCTGTTACTGCCACTTACCAGTTAGAGTCATTTGGGTTTTGCCTCGCAGTGTACCCCTGTTAAATGTGTGTATCAGAACTTCATGGAATTTCATCTCCTACATAAGAACAACGAACTAAAACAGTGAATGACTGTCTCTTTGTCTCCACCCCTCTTCCGCTGGGTCACGTGCTGTGTGCTTGTTTAAGCTTATTCATGTCTTGTGAGGTGCTGAAGTCTTGTAACTAATTTGCAGGTGTTGCTGGGGATGGGTGTTTCCGCTCTTGAAATAGCTGACGTGGTTGTCGTGAGGTACACTGATGGGGAGCAGTACAGGGTGAGTGTCTTTAATGTGTTGATTGGTCAGTCTACTCCCACTACTAATACTACTCCTTGGCACTACAGCCCTTTTGTAGGGCCTTGGCCTCCCTGATTTTTCAGTCTACAGACAGCTTTACTTCACTTCACGTTACTTCTCCGTATTATCAACAGTGCGTGACAGCACTGAGAGGAAGAATTAACTCACAAGTAGATGTAAAATAAATTTCTTGAAGAGTTCTTTGCAAGAGAGTCATCCACTCACACCTTCTACATCATCTTTATGTGCCGTGAAAATTTTCCTTCTTCCAATGTATTTCATTTTGTATTCCCGCAAATAGGCCCATGTGTCTGTACTGCCACTTTCTCCATTAAATTTCTTGTCATCACCTCTGTCAGTAATAATCGCATTCTCCTCTTCACCGCAAGTACTTTTATCTTAATCCATTGTACTGTTGTATGAGCCGGGATAGCTTGGTCATTATAGTGACTAGCTACGGGCTGGACGACCGGGGTTCGATCCCCGACGGGTGCAGAGGATTTTTCCTCTAGCCTCTGCGTCCAGACCGGCTCTGGGGCCCACCCAGCCTCCTTTACAATGGGTACCGGGGTCCTTTCCCGGGGGTAAAACCGGCCGGGGCGTGATGCTGACCACTCACCCCCGTCTAGTGCCGAGGTCAAGGAAGAGAGGAGCTATACCTCCACTCCCCCCAAACGCCTACATGGCGTATAGTGGGACAAACTTTACTTTTACTGTACTGTTGTATGAATCTGTAAGATGTTCAGCACATAATAATGTAGCTAAGTAGGATTTGAGGTTTTTTGTGGCGGTGAGTCTGCCGTAGCTGTCTTTCAAGCGTGTTGACGTTGACATTGTGCTTTGAACTGCAGACATTGGGTCTGTATCAGGATCTGCCAACAGCATACATGTAGATACACGTACAAATGAAGTGGGCGTGATATATTGAC